TTTTCTTTTTGAACGAGTTTAAATAAGTAGATAATGTAAGCAATAAAGAATTTGTCGGTAGACGACAAAAAGGATAATATCGATGAGTTATTTATTTGAAATGATATGTAAATATATTATATGAATAAAATGATGATCATATTTTAGAAAAAGTTTTAACCCGGGCCGAGACGGTGAGAGCGTCCAATCCTAACCACTAGACCACATCGGAATAAACAATATCTATTGATTGATATATTTTCCTTTTTTTGTCAATCAATACACGCAGACATCAATAGTATTTCTTTGAAGGTTGAGAAGATTGTTATAAATCCATATTAAATGCTTTAAAATTAACATAAAGACATAACACAATAGTAGTCTTGCATAACTTGCTCTAAGTTTAATATAGTAATAATTCGATGTTCGATTACATTTTACATTATATCAAATCATTCTATAATGTTCATTAAAATGAACAAGTTTTATTTTATTACTTTAGCATATTGATCATTGGTTAATAATTTTAAATTTTATTGTCATTGGTAAAAATATTTCATTAGATTTATATAATTTTAAGTTTTTATTTCATCTGAATGTTCTGTGAAGCCGATATATTAGGCAGGTGAAATCGATTTGAAAACAGATAAAAATTCATGAAAATTTATTTAATGATCAATTAACACAGAAATATCCGACTCAAGAAGAAAACATTATTTCAAGGCAATTCTAGCGATGTGTAAAAAATCCTTACTTAGTATTGAAAAGTATTAAGAGTTTTGATTTATTAAAGAGTAAACAAAAATATACTAAGATGACGTAAAAATTGAGAGGAAATTGTTAGTTTATATAACTTTGTAGTCATAAATTAGTAGAAATGTATTAAGCTATATATTGAAGATAAATAAAGCAAGAGAGACTTTCAGAAAATATTTCAAATTTAAAACGAATTTTATCAACAAAGATCAGATATTAAAAAAAAATATTAACATACAGTTATTTCCAAGGAAGTAGAAAAAAATACAAAATCTGTTTCAGTGATATTAATAATTACTAGCAACAACATTTCCCTAGAAAAAAAACAATGAGAATCTATTATTTTTAAAGAAAAATCTCCAAGAACAAATAATTAAAGAATTGACCTTTTTCTCTCGCGACCTAGTACTCATTTTAGAAAAAGAATGAAGTCATTTCACAAAATAAGACATGTTGATATAACACTTACAGAAAAGAATATCGTATGTATGTTTTATTTTATAGAAATATTTTGATTTATAAAAAGATAACTATTTTGTTTATTGAATCAATTGATAGGAATTTCTTTTATTCTTTATAGATCATCTCGATCTCATTTTGATTTTAAAAAGGTAAATTTTCAATTGATTTTTTATGTTGAAAATAGTTATGAACTAGTTTGAAGTTATGAGGAAGTTTATTTTTTGATAAAGTATTAAACCTCTTCTTGATTTCATTATATAGACTATCTATTTATTTTCCTATGCATAAATCTCTCTAAATATATTTTAGTAAATAGTATATAAAAATAATTTCTTACATTATTTGTTTCTTTTTCGGTATTTATTAAGATTTACTCAATATTTTATCTGTTTGTTTCTCTTTTGTAAGGATAATGAAATTTAGGGGTGAGAATTTATTGTTATTATTATTTGTTATAAATAACAGATGAATAACAAATAACTTTTATTTTTTGAAAAATATCTTTTCTCACTTCATTGTATATTTTAATTCTGTCCGTTATGTAAACTTACATTTTGGAACGAATTTTCTATATCTCTACTACTGATTTAGATGGTTCGACCAAGATATGAAGCTAGCTGAATTTTTGGAAAAAGAGTTATTGTTATTTATAACAGAACAATAACGATAATTTCTCACCCCTAGTTGAAACTAAGAAAAACAATATTGTTTTTAATCACTAATTACTTCGATTACCTGGTTATATACTTTTTTGTTAAATCTTTCTATTATTTTGATTACTTTGTCTGTGTCACTTATTGTGAATGAAAAAGATCACACAAAAAAAGATTTTAATTACATAAAATTGTTTACATAGAAACTGAATATACAATACAAAAGTACGTCATATGGTCATTTTAACTTTTTATTTTTGGTAAATTTGCTTAGTCCTTGTGCGTAGAAGTATAATCTTAATTTTTTTAAACATTAATGTATATTCTTTAGGATTTGATATAATTGTTTATTGCAATATAAATATATTCCTTTGTAATACACATTTTTATTAGATCCATAAAATGATTCATATGACTTTCTCTCGGAATATAATAAATATTCATTTTCACTGAAAAAAATAGAAAATATAAGATAATTATAAAAGAGAAAACTATATTGACTGTTTATTTATACTCAATGAGATACAGGAAATCGTTACAATCTATTTTTGAAATAAAACAAAGAAACTTTCTTCTTATTCTTTTTCTTTTTTTTTTATTACATTTTGTTTTCTGATGAATAACTAAAAGAAATATGTTCAATAATAGTCAAAGACTGTCTTATTCTGTAAAATTTTATTCGTTCTAATAAATATTTTTATAATATTAAATATAAATATAATTGAATTACATATTTTCATTTGATTAAGATTGTGAAGGTCAAATTTAGATTTTTTGACAATGCTTAAGATTACTCGAGTATAAAGTAAGAATATTATCATAGAGTTAAGGTTCGAGTTAGTATTGAACAAGAAATTCATATATTTATAGAAAGTGAAAACTTGAATTACATATAGTTTATAATCTTTTAATTATTGAATAATCTTAAATAATATGTTTTCTACTTGCCTTATATTTCTATTCTACTAACATTTCTCTGTTTACTTTTGTAAAATAATATATAACTATAAGAAGATTTATTTTTTGGATTATTTTTAGTACATAATTGTTGTAATTGTTCATCATGTATATAAAATTCTTATTTTATTAGTTAATCGATAAAAAATATGATATATACTATTTTATTTAGATATTAATCATCATGGCCGATAGATATTTGAAATATCTTTCGATAAAATCAGTTATAATTATTGCGTAAGAAATATTATATTTATTTTATTAGATTATATAATAAGAATAACTGTTGTTAGATTTTTAATTGATAAAATGTCGGCTCTCTCTAATTGTTCAACGACTGTTTGGGCAGTGAATGCAACAACAATTGCTGGTTCACCTACGGGTATTGCAGCTTTCAATTCAACATTGTTAAATGGACCATTTGGCCTCATGGTTGGTACAAATGATTCGATTTATGTCATGGATTATAAGAATCCAAACTATCGTATGCAACTTTTTTATCCAGGTAGTCAATTAGGAACAATAATAATTAACACCACCAAAGGCACAGGTCTCAATCAGTTCTCTCAGAGTAAATAGTCTGAGATAATTGATATATAATCAATGTTTTCTTTAATTTAGTCAACGCTCTTAGCTTGGATATAAGTGGTAATATCTATATACTTGACGCGGGAAACTATCGTGTTACAAAATGGGCCCCAGGAGCATCAACGGGTATAGTTGTAGTCAGTGCTAACGGATCGGGCACTTCTCTCAACCAACTAAATACTCCTTACGACTTTTTCGTTGAACCAAATACATCGTATATTTGGATAGCTGATTCATTCAATAATCGGATTGTCAAATGGATAAATACATCGACTGTAACACTTGTCGCAGGGGGTGCTCAAGGTTCAGGAGCCGATCAATTTTATAAACCTGAAGGATTATTCGTTGACACTTCTGATTCGAATACATTATATGTATCAGACACATATAATCATAGAATCCAAAAATGGCTTTATGGAGCAAGCAATGGAACAACGGTAGCCGGACAACAATCAGGTGTGTCTGGTAGTGCACTTAATCAACTTAATTATCCAGCGACTTTGACTATGGACACGAACAAATCATTGTACATTGTGGACTATGGAAATAATCGAGTCGTTTTATGGTTATTAGGATCTACATCGGGTATACTCATTGCTGGTACAGGCGTTGCTGGAGTATTACCATCTCAACTACATAATCCTTACAGTGTCAAATTAGATTCAACTGGAGCACTTATTGTCAATGATTATTATAACAATCGGATTCAAAGATTTCCTGTTCTTTGCTGTAAGTTTAATAAATAAATATTTAATTTAATTAGTTTTTATAAAATATATTTGAAGTGTATAGATAAATCTTACGAGAGAACGTTGCCATCTGCCCAATCGAATTTTTTAATATAAGCTATTGGATTAGAGATTATTCACTATGTAGATTCCGAATATGAGTATCGAAAATCCCCTTAGATCTTCCTGAGATAGTTTTCTACAAAACTATTTTGAAAAATAATAAACTTTTTTTAACTGTTGTTTATATTCGTTCGTATTATGCAGCGTATTGAATTGTCTATAAAATAACAGCAACTATTTCTGTTTTAAATTGAATCCTCGAGAAAATACAGTCATGTAAATCCATATAACAGATGCACACTATAATAACTTAATACCTAAATAGAAAAGTTCATATAATTTTTCCTGGAGTTCATTTCTACAAAACAGGAAAAATTGTCCTATTAAAGACAATTTAATATGCTCTGTAATCTGGACAGATAAAAAACAATATGTAGTTAAAATTTTATTATTATTGAATATCACCTAAAAAGAAAAGAAGGTTTTTACTCACAATTGATTTTGCTTAATTATTTTTTTTTTATTTTATATTGTCTAGCGCCAAATATGACGCCCTCCTCGTCATCATCAACAGCATCAGTATCAACTAACTCAACCTCAATTGCTGCTATATTACAAAGTAAGATGGAATACACTGATTCAAAAAAAAATATTTAAATTGTATGATCATGTGTTTTTGTTATAGACACAACAATGGCTGTTTCACTTACTACCAATAGTCTTACAACATTAGCAAGTAAGTAGAAAACTATCCGAAAAGAAGTAGCTAGAAATAAAAAATACAAACATCAGATGCATTAATTTTTGTCGCGTATAGAATATAGATTTTAAACATAACTTAAGTTTATTTATTATACTAGGATATATCCAAAAATTGATTTTGTAATATTTATTTTAATTAAAGATTAAGTGTCAAATAGTTTAGAAAAACAAAATTGTTTTAATATGTAAAAGTATGACATATAACTATAGTAACAGAATGCAGCTAAGCGTTTATAGCAACGCATTTTAACAATATGAAATGAATAGAAAATAATATAATGAAGTAATGCATATTTTTATTTGAAAAGTTATAGAAATAATTCCATTATATAGTGTTTAGTTGATATTTTGTTTATAATTTGAAACATCTAATTAAGATTAACAAGATTCTATGATAAGAAAATATATATTATAAATTACAATTGGTGTATATACATATCTTCTATAAGATGATTGTGTGATAATGTTATATACCACTTAAGAATTATGAATACTTCTGTTTATATAATATGAATATGATCTATTAGATAGAATGATGGATATAATATTGATATCTGTAAAACGTATAGAAACTATAAATATAAATATGTTTGTAGGATATTTCGCGTGAGGAATATTAAAACTGAATTTTATATGAGATAAGCAAGATTGCCGTCAGTGTTATCTTTTGAACAAAAATATTTAAAGAGATAATATCACGATATATTCGAATTTATTTTTAGAAAAACAATTAGTTTTATTTCATAATCAGTTGTTTTTTATACTATTGACAAGATTCATTCATTTTTAGTAAATCAACATCTCTGTATTTCTTCTAACTGACTAAACAAATGGACTCTGGAAAGTTTGTTTTGTAGATATTTCATAGGGGTGCTTTCTTATCATTACTTTTTCTTTTTTCAAGTTAGTGTGGATGATGAGACATACCAAATACTACATACAACAATTATGCGTCCATAGTGACTTGTATGTCTTATGATTCACACTAAAATGAAAAAAGAAAAAGTAATAAAATAATGGTGATAAGGCACTCCTAATATTTAATTAAATATTCTTTTCTTTCTGTATTGAAAACTTTTCTTAAATATTTTTATAATAAAAAAATATATTTTAATAAGAAGTTTTTACTTTTTTCTATTCTATTTAATATTATTATACTCGACAGTGCTATGACAGTTGTTCAATTAGCTTAACTTAAACTAAAATTGACCACAAATTACTGCATTTCGTATAGAAACATATGATATGAGAAAACATAAGAATTCGATTATCAGCTCAAATAAAAATCCGATTTAGTATCTTTTAGATAAGACAGAGTTTTATGAAAAATCTATGTTACAAAAATTTTATTTTCCATTCTAATATTAGATTTTATTAAGAACTCGAATAAAAAGAAAAATGGAATTTATTAGTACTAAAGAGTAAAGAGGAGTAAAATTCTAACTATTAAATTGTGTTCGACGTGAAACACAAACGAAATTATTCATTTTCTCTTTTCTAACAATATTTCGTATATTTGCCATTATATTGAAAAATTTAAAGTATTCATATAGATAAATAAATCATAACTAAACATTTAATTAGAAATCTTAGAATACTGTTACATAGAATCGATAATTGAAGGCATTTAATATATTTAAATAAAAACTATTGAGATGACTTCTTTGAAAATACCAATTATAAAATATCTAGTGAACACAACATATTGTTATTTATTTTCTGTCTAATGTATCAACTATTTTTTAAATAAATATTATATTCTATCTTTTTTCACTTTTAGATAATCCAACAACAATACTATCAGCTTCGACATCAATCGCAAATTCAGTTACAGTATCAGCCATAGTTTCAACGTCACCAATAATAACACCATCAACAACAGTTTCAGCGTCAGCAATAGGTACATCATCAACAACAGGATTAACGTCAGTAATAGCCACACCTTCAGCCACAGTTTCGACATCAGCAATAGTTACACCATCAACAACAGTTTCAACATCAACAAAAGTTTCAACAACAGCAATAGGTACACCATCAACAACAGTTTCAACATCAACAAAAGTTTCAACAACAGCAATAGGTACATCATCAACAATAGTTTCAACATCAGCAATAGTCACATCATCAACAACAGCTTCAACATCAGCAATAGGTACATCATCAGCAATAGTTTCAACATCACCAATAGTCACACCATCAACAACAGTTTCAACGTCACCAATAGGTACATCACCAGCAATAGTTGCACCAACAACGATAGTTTCAACATCACCAATAGCCACTTCACCAACAAAAGTTTCGACATCAGCAATAGTTACACCATCAACAACAGTTTCAACGTCAACACTGGTTGCAACATCACAAAATAGTAGTTCAACTAATACAATAACAAAATTATCATCAACAAGCGCTACAAGCTCTCTATCAACAACTTATTCATTTGCGACCCGTAATTTAAATTCAAAATTATTAGTATTATTATTTTGTTTCATTATGTTTTTTATAAACAATTAATTTTTGGTTTTATTCATTCATTAATCTCTTTCTAATGCTTTCAATATATTTATTATTCATTTGCTTTTTGTCTAGTCAATGAACTGAACCTGCTACAAATTCTATAACCGCTTTATTTATTCAAGCGACAATACTAAGTCTGCATTGCCTATTTTATTTTATTTGGGCACAACAAGCAAAACAATCCGCTAATTCGTAACAATTTAACAGACAAATCTTTTTTTTCTTAAGTTCATAATATATTTTATTCTCATATAATTGAATTCACTGAAGTTTTATTGTTTTTAATATTAAATATTTGATGTTGTGCATGTGAAGAGTGATTTTCCTAATAAACTATCTGCTTTCTATGTCTAACTGAATATTGAAATATATCGAATTACTTCTAAAAATTGTTAGAAACTAACTAGGTATGAAAGGAATGTTTTAGTAAAAGAACTGTATCCACATGCATATTACGAAGTATATTATTTTCATTGATTTGTAATTAAAAACTTTTATTTGAAATATATATACTACGCCAAAAAACTTAGAATACTACCCTCTACAACATATCTTAAAATGAATAAAATGAGACGACCTCGATTGAGCACGTTATGTGTATTTTGATGATGACTTACGCCGAATGGCTCCTATGCACAACTTTTTCTATAAATACTACAAAATAAACTTAATGCATGTCTGCAATATTTTGTATTGATCTATGTGTATTACTAATGTCAAAATAATCAATCTGTATAAAAAGCTAAAAACATTAGTATTTGTTATGACTTAATTTTTTATATAACAGACACACACTGTTTCTATATTTATTTTTCCTTGAAATCAAAACAAAGATAAACGTTCATCAAATTGATTATTTTTCTTCCAATCATTTTCTGTAAATTCATTTGGGAAACTGGAACTTTTTTGTAATAATAAATTTAATTCTTTATCAGATGATATGGATGTTTTATAATGAAAAATTTTTTTACATTGAATTATTTTTGTTGTCTTAGACATATCTAAATGTATACCATAAACAAGTGAATTAATTGTTATTTGAATTTGTTCTAATTTTATTTTAATATCATTGGCTTCATTTGTATCAACCATTTGTTTTGTATTATAAAGTCTATAACTAATTCGTTGTAATTGATAAAATTGTTTTTGTTTAAATTTATTTAATTGTTCAATAAGTTCTTGACGAATTGAACGAAGATGAAGAATTATATCTGATGAATATATATTATTATTTGATGATAATTGTTCTAATGCTTGATTATAACATTGCTCAATACTCATTGAATGAAGTTTACGATATAATTGTTGAAGAATTTCATAAAATGATAAATGACGTTCAAGAATCGTATCATGATGAATTATAATATGATTTAAACAGAGTGATTGTTGACAATCATAACATAAAGCACAGCATAAATTTATGCAATTAACTTCTTTACATGTCATGCTTTATTTGAGAATAGAAGAACAGTAAATGATTCTAATGTTTATCATGTCCTCTGTTTTTATTTCTTTTCTTTGATATTATATATATATCTCTTCGATCACGAGGAAAACTATAGAAATGAAGAATGAGTCATCATATCAAAATGTTCGCCAGTGCAAATCACTTCCTAATATCTAAATACTTGTTCGAAGATTTATTACAAATTTATCTTAAATATCCTAATGATTTTTTTGGTATAACAAAAAAAAATATTTATTATTAAGATTGTGCCATAGCAATTCTTATATCAATAGATTTACGATAATATTGATGTCTTTTGTGTAATAAAATCATTTTAATTAGAAGACAAAAATTAATTATAATCATACTATAAGAAATCAGGATCAATAATGTTGAAGCCCAGTATAATATAACAGCACAATGAATTTCTGGTGCTATTCGAGATGCAAGACGAAATGCCATGATACTTATAATAATTCTAGATATAATTAAATAAATCAATAAAAAAAATGTTAAAAATAGATTCCATTTATTTGGTCCATCATAAGCATCGTAACGATGAATTATTAAAGCCATTGTACTTAAAATAATACCTATTATACCAGTTATACCTAATGTAGTTGATAAATAAGGTGATGCTGGACATTGATCGTGGTAAACAGCAAATAAAAGGACATGACATATGGAAATTGCAAGTAGCATAAGTTGATTAATATATGAAATTGTTTTGAGCATCTCTTGACAAATAGATAGTAGAGTAATAAAGCCGGAATATTATCTATAATATTGTCATAAACATTTTCTAAAATTTTTATGATATATGTCACGTATATGTCTGTAGTAACTCAATGATGAAGTACTTTTTAATTACATTTTTAAGAAGTAAAGAATTATTCAAGAGATCAAAGACAGTTTACTTCTAACTGAACGATAACGTCAATGAGCAGTCGTCATTATAATGAGATATACGGAAATGACTGTTGCAGATTCTCAACGATCCAAACTTAAAAATAGAATAATAACAGAAATCTCTTACAATGGAAGAGCTCACGGTATAGCTTACGAATATAGATCATTTACCGACAATTTTTTTACGATGTTTAGATGACAGTTGCTTTTTAGCGGCTGCTCGGTATCCTTGACGTACCAGATTGTTAGATATGTAAAGAATTAAGTTAGAGAACGTGTAGATTATCGTTTAATTTTTTCCAATCAAAAGTAGTATATTTACAGGCCGAAAGAATACACGAATACAGTAATACAAAAAAAGACGAATATAGCATACTTGAGATAGATATACTTCACTTGACGAACCCACATAGTTTTATTGAAATCTAGAATCTAAGGTATCTGGAAGACCTTTTAGTGGAAAACTTTTGAGATATATTATATTATAGACAATAACAAATGTCATCGAGAATTATGCATACTCATTTATTATCCGCTAATATCATATTCAGCCAATGAAATGAATAAGATCTAGTAGATAACAACCCACAAATACAATACATGAGATATAATGTTGATGAAAGCTAAGTATTATTAGAGCCATATAATTTAATAAAGAAAAAACAATCTCACATCAGTCATTAAGTACAAAACTAAGTTTCAAATCGCCTACTATTGGCATAATACAATAGATATTATCTTATTAATTTAATAGCTGTTATCCTAATTGATACATCTTCAATGTTTATTTTTATACAAAATTTTTAACTATTTTTTGTTTCTTTTCGTAAGTTAAATTTCATTTGTACCAAGAGAAAAGAAAAGAAAAGAAAAAGAAACACAAGTCATAGAATTTAACAAGACAATAATGATATTCTTACCCACATATTTCATTCCAAATACACTATCCGAATAAATATACACAAACACACATAAAGTAGTAGTATTAGGCATTTGTATGTTATTGAGTAAGCACTAAAGCTCATCTATTGCACAATGCCTTTTGATACACATAGATGAAAGATTAAATAGCAAATAGAGTATAATAACAAATCTGACCTCGAACATACACACACACACACATATAGAGAGAATTCTTCTTTTCACAAAACACTGTTATACGTAAGAAAAAGAACAACAAATTGACTTTAAAAAAAAAGCATGAACAGAAAACTTTGTTTGAATTTTTCATAATACCGGCCGGTTATATGCATGATAAATCTATGTTCATTAATACGATTAGGTATTTTCATGACCCATTAATATATGTAAATCGCATGGTGATGATGAAAATGGTGTTGTAGTTAATGCACTTATTGATTGTGAAAGATGATTATCAATATCAGACGATAATGATGGACGACTTTGTAAAACAATTAAACGATCACTGCCAATAACTCGAAATGATCGAGTTTGATCATAGACTTCTTGTGTAACTTCATTATCTTTTAAACTTCTACCTTGCATACCATGTTCATGAAATGCAAGTACACTATCTTGTAAACAAACTGAAAAACAAATATATATAAGAGAAATATTTCGATTTATTTTTTACCTAATGATCGAACGTCACAATCAAAATGAAGTTCAGATACTGTTCGTTTACTTGTACGAGGTTTACCTTGTGAATTCACAATTGTGATATTATCTAAATATATATTCAAATTTAAAATTTTTTCAATTCCTATTAATAAAACTTACTTCCATCACAAATAAGTACAGTATCAGCATCTTTTTCATGTTGAATTACATAGGAAACATCAGATAGAAGAGACACTAAATAAATAAACGATATCAATCTTTTATAGTACACAAGAGACTAATAAAACTACCATCATGATAATTTTCCATTCGTTCTGTTTCGAAATTTACTGAAGCAAATTTATATGCATTTGGACAAGATTTACTAAACGTATATAAATGATATGAAATCTTTAATGAATAGAATTTCGCTTACCTTTTACTAACACCAATACATACAATTGCATATTGATTTTCTGGTGAAAAAATCATTTCAAATATTGGTGGTTCAGCCGGTATTGAAATAGGAACTGTCTAAAAAATTCAAAAATATGAAATAAAATTATTTCATCAAAAATTGATTTACTTTTAAATGCATAAATTTTCTTAATGGATCGTAATATTGCATAAGAAATACTTCATTTGTTAACATTCCAGCAAGATAAATAAAACCATTAAATTGATTTCTTCCAACACAACATCGACTACATCCACGTGTATTATTGATTTTAACTGATGTTACTAATTTTTTTGGCATTAATTTTTCAAATTTTTGTGGAAATTGAATTTTATTTAATTGAAGAGATAATCTTGCTGTACTTTTATTATGAAATAATAGATGTAGATCATGTCGATATAAAGTATTCGATTTTCCTTGAATGACAAATAACAAAATGAATTAAAAAAAGATTTTATTAAAAACAAGTAACGCTCGTCCAAGGACTCGGTTAGCTCTTTCTCGTAAAAATCCATTTTCTTCACATTTACTGGAACAACAAATGAAAACTGTAAAAAATTGATTTTCGATGTTTTTTTGACCTTTGAATCCCCTTCGCCGCTACCATCACCTTGATCACCCAATAGACCTCAAATTCGAACTCTCCGTATCGAAAAACCTCAGAAAATGTCTTTTTCAAAAAATTGATTTTCGATGTTTTTTGACCTTTCACCCACACCCACCAACCCCTAACCGTGGTCACCCAACAGACCTCAGATTCGAAGTCTACGTATCGAAATACCTCCAGAAATGTCTTTTCCTGAAAACTGATTTTCAATGTGTTTTTCACCCTGCGGACAGACAACCAGACAATTTATGTTTACAAGACTCTTCTCTACGATAAAGAGAATAAAAAATATTACCTGAGATTGACCAGAGAATATTATCTTTAACAAATAACCAAGTTGTTCGTCTTGGATATAACTAGAAAGAATTAATGAAAATAAATATATTTTATAAGAATAAAATTACTAATTCTAATGTAGCATCATGTAGTTCATTGAGATTTAGTGAGTAAACACCTTCTTCAGCAGCAATCAATACCACTTGATCTAATTAGATAAGATAAAATTTATTTGATACAAAGATTCTAATTTACCTCTTGTTTCATTATTAATCCAACAATAACTCGCATGAATTTCTAATGGACATTCATTAAATATTTTCATAAAACCAGCACCCATATGAACTCGAGGTACACTTGGTATACCATTTGATAATGTTGTTTTATCTTGTTTAAATTTTAATGTATTATCATCCGTCTTTGATTTTAATGTATTATTATTTGTATCAATATTTTCATGTATAGTTTGTTGTTGTTCTTTTTTCTTTGTTTTATTTGATTTTGTTGGTAATGATATGGGTAATGGTGATCGTTTTATTGTATTTGTCTCATTAGTTTCATCTTCATTTTCTTCAACATCAGCATCACGCATTACATCAACAATATGTTTTATTTCATTTAATGCTAAATCATCAAATGCACTTAATGGTAATTTCGACATTAATCGCTAGAAATTCAAAATAAAATTGATATTTGTAAAAAATTAGGTTTTCTATTTTACTTGAATATCTTCATCAGCTAAACCTAAAGATTTCAATCGTTGAATATGTTCGGAATTTCCATTATCTTTAGTTCTTGTCGATGGCGGAATATGTCCACTAGAAAAATTACAAAGAAAATTTATTATCAATTTTACTTAAAATTAAATATTAAATGTTGATCTAGTCATGCTAATTATTGAATATTGTTTTTTTGTTCTATTATTTAACTAGAGATTTTTTTTTAGAGAAAATACCGGCGGGATAGTTCGTCCAGGAATGAATCCAAAAGTCCACTAGAGAAATATATTTGCAAACAAATCTGTTCGATTTTCTTGAGTACTTACGTTTCATTGATATTTAATGAAGGATTCTAAAAAGAAAGAAATTGTTAAGAATGTTTTTTATATGGAAAGTTTAAATTACTGTATCAGCTTTCGTATTGGTTTCGGTTGGTATTAAATCATTGAGAATTGAACTACGGATTAGAGG